CCTTAATAAGGTAGCTTTCATGGCAATTCCAAGAGAAGTTGCGAGTTAGTTTGGATGAAAATGTTGGCTAACAATCCTAAGGTTAGAGTTCTGGCAATCCTGCTGCTCTATTCGAGTTAAAAGCGATGGTTTCTAAGGATGTTAGTGGACCGAAGCGGGGGCGGGAGGCATAATTTTCATCCCGTACCCGCTTAAAAAAATTTCGTCCATCCCTGGTCCATCTCCGTTAACGGGAATACATTTCATCTCCATCCCCGTTCCCGTTCGCGTGTGTAAATTTTTAATCCTCACCCCCGTCCTCGCTTCCCCCAAGCCCAAGCTCAAGTTCAAACTAACATAATAAAAAATTCTAAATAAATCCAATATTTAAAAACTTTGCAACACACTATCTACAATGGTTTACCAAGCATAAACGGTGGTAAGAGTCCAAAAGTTTTTTAAGAAAACATGATCACATGCCTTCAGTGAAATGCATTTTGACAAAGACTTATTAATACTCTCTAGAACATTATATGAACACCACCAACAAAAGGCATCCCGAATACCTGATTCTTACATATATAGATGGCCAGAATATTTTGGAGATGAGCTTGATCAAGTTTGTTACTTCTATTGAAAGATTGACAATCTGAACAAGTCTATTAAATTTACTGAGTAGATGCGAAAATGTGTCCACAACAATGAGATAAACTAGTGTTCTCTTCTTGTTTGACTTGAATCTGTAAAAAGAAAACAAAAAAAGTTCAGTGAGAGAGTACAATAAGATAGCACGAGAGAAGATTTTTCATAGGAGTTCTTCACATCTAATGGAATTCTCAATCACAAACAAGTCAATATCTTTCAAGCCAAACTCTGAGATTCAAAAGTTAATTAAAGTTTCCCGCTATTATCAAATGCTATTTAGAGCTGATTCAAGCTATAAATCTTGTTTCAAAAACCCAATGAGTGTCTGTGTTCACATATGCTTTTTCAGGCACAAATTCGTCAGAGGAAAAGAACAAACACACATGCATCAGCCTATGATGCATCACTTAATTATACTCATTCCGTTCCTAAATATCTGTCGTTTTACACAATTTTTTTTGTTCTATAATATCTGTTGTTTAATGAAACCAAAGTATGATTAATATTTTTTTTTTCAAATTTACTCTTAACTTTTCAATGCATTAAATTAGGTGGAGGCTAAATGCCTTTTATATTCTTTTCCTTCCCAATATTGAATAAGAGTATTTTAGTCTTGTACAATTATTTTTTACTCATATTAAAACTATTTAATAGTTTCCTTAATCCATGTGTAAAAACTTTAAACGACAGATATTTAAGAATGAAGGGAGTAGTTGACAAAGCAATCATTGTGTCTCAGAATTAAGAAATTTAAAGGAGCCTCAGATATGAAACAATGATGCAGGAGAAATACTTCTTTGTGGATTGAATATATCAGCGCTTGAAATGCTTTAACCTATATTTATTAGTAGTTGAATGGTATCTAAGATCTGAGAGAGAGAAAAGTGATACTAGATCTGCAGAGAAGACCTCTATCTGAGAGAGAGAAAGAGAGAGAGAGAGAGAGAGAAATAGTATCTGATAGAGGTCTTCTCTGCATGTTATCTAGGATTATTTTTCTCTCTTTCAAAGAGTAAACTATTAAAATTTCATAGTACTCTGATGCATGTGCTTTGTTCAAATTCACACTGCCGGAGATATAAAGCAAGTGGGCTTTTTAAACTCCTAAAGCTATGGCACTTTCATGAAGAAATTTCTCCCTTCAAGATTAAGGACTGCCTACTTTATTATCTTCTAGTCATAATGGCACTGGAGCTATCACTGGTTCTTCAAATATTAAGTGTTGCTTTACTATTTCAACCACGGGGAACATCCTCTATGGCTAAGCTTGGTTGCCAACAGAATGTGGGAACATAACAATTCCTTATCCATTTGGCATAGGAGAAGGTTGTTACATGGAAAAACAATTTGAAGTCACCTGCAAAAATAGGTCACAGATGATGCTGGCCGGCGGATTTTTAGTATTGGAGTTGTCCCTCGATTAGGCATGGTAATGGGCTGTTTCAATGATCTTGGGAGAATTTCTGTGGGCTTATCGGATTACAAATTGAACCCCAAATTTAGTTATTCCCACACCCAAAATAAGTTTATGGCCTACATTACCGACCCTAAAAGTCCAAACAATACAAGTGGGTGTGTGTCCTTTTGTAATAACATTACAAACGTACAACGTTGGGGTTATTTATCATCTTGCTCTGGTGTGGGTTGCTGCCAAACTACTCTCCCAAAAGATATCTCCTCATTTGATTTGAAAATCATCAGCATGAATACTTTTAACTATTCTCGGGGCTGGCATTGATGCTCTGCGGCCTTTGTTGCCTGGAAGGACTATTTCCATGACACAATAGGACAGAGTTACTTTGACGATGTCCCCAATGTGCTTAATTGGTGGATTGAAAACGTCAGTTTCTATGAAGCTCGGAAAAGAGGAAGCCTTTTATGCAGCCGGCACAGCCATCGTTTTGACATCACCCAAGGCAAGGGATATAAGTGCAGTTGTTTGGATGGTTACCACGGGAACCCTTACCTTCCTAAGGGATGCCACGATATGCGTAGGCTTTTCTATTACAATTTTATTTTGTTATAATTCCTAAAACTAGCTTTTCTATTACAATTTTATTTTGTTATAATTCCTAAAACTACTATAGGATTCATTTTGCACATAGTGGAGTTTCTTTGCTACTTAAAAAAGGTTAAAATATTGCCTTCTTGATACTTTACAAGGTTGTTTTGTCTTCCTTGGGTAAATAACTTTTTATGATCCCAAATATCCCAAATTGTTTAAGAATGAGCTTATTTTTATGTGTATAAGGTCTCGAACACCCTCATGTTACAAAAATATTTGCCAAAGTGAGTTCTACACATTGGTTTATTTTGGTATGAGAAGAGACACACTATCATAACTTCGTGCCACACACGAAACGACTTATAGACTAGATTGAAATGCCTTAGTATTATTGATGAGTATAATGCTATAATATAGTCTATAAGTCGCACTTTCTTGATGACGACTAGAGAGCCACAACAAATACTGTGTGTCAGACTATGACACCAAGTGATTTGAAGCGACGGTAGAATTCACTTTGAAAACTAGTTTGTACAGAAAGGTTGCTTTAAGAACGCATTTACTGTTGTGAACATTTTGGTTCATAACATATTACCTTAAACTTGTTCTATAAAGTATTTCCATTGCTGTAGCATGATGAACAAGATAAACAACAATTTTAACAAACACGAATGAGAACTTATGCTATTTAATGTTATCTTATTATGAATCTGGGAGAAATTCTAATATTACCGTTATATTTTGGACTTCTTAAAAGATATCAATGAGTGTGAAGACCCAAACAACAATTGCCGAAGTGAAGCTATTTGCACCAATACGCTGGGCAGCTACAGGTGCAGTTTCCCACATGGTTATCAGATCTATCACAATGCAAGTGGATATTTTGGATGCAAATCTAATGGAGGAAGGTCACCATTTACCCAAATTGCCTCTTTAGGTATACAATTTCTCTTCTCATCTTCCCATCCTTTAACAAACTTTGACTGAACTATACTAACAAACTTTCATTGTCCCTTGCAGCCACGAAAATTGCTACTGGTGCTCTAATTCTAATAGCCATTGGTCTCTTGATGTACCACAAACTCGAACAAAGAAAGAAATTCAACATGAGGCAGATGTTTTTCAAGAGAAATGGGGGCTTCCTATTGCAACAAAAAATCTCTTCTAGTAATGAAAGTTCAATAAAAACCCGACTCTTCAAAACGGACAAGTTGGAGAAAGCAACAGACTTCTTAAATAAAAGTCGAATCCTCGGCAAGGGAGGAGAGGGTACAGTTTACAAAGGGATGTTACTAGATGGAACAATTGTTGCTATCAAGAAATCAAATATAGTTGATGAAAGTCAAGAAGTTCGAGTCCTTAATGAAGTTTGCATTCTTTCACAGGTAAACCACGGGAATATTGTCAAATTGTTAGGTTGCTGTTTGGAGTATGAGGTTCCATTGCAGGTTTATGAATTTGTCTCCAATGGCACATTGTCACAACATCTTCATTATGCCGGAAATATTTCAACAATATCGTGGGAAAACCGACTGTGAATTGCCGGGGGAATCGCCTGTGCACTTGCTTATCTACACTCATATGCTTCAATTGCTATTTTTCATAGAGACATAAAGTCTAGCAACATATTATTGGATCACAATTTCAGGGCTATAGTGTCTAATTTTGGACTTTCTAGGTCAGCACCCATTCACTGGACTCACTTAACGACATTGGTCGGGGCACATTTGGTTACCTAGATCCCGAGTACTTCTGGTCTGGCAAGTTTACTGATAAAAGTGATGTTTATGCCTTTGGTGTGGTTCTTGCTGAGCTCTTAACTGGGAAAAAGGCCATCTCAAGTAGTAGTTCTGATGAAGGTCTGGTTATAAACTTTTTGACATTGTTGAACCAGGATCGCCTGTTTGAGATTCTAGATGCTTTGTTGACCGACAAAAATCGAAAGGATGAGATTCTTGATGTGGCTGAGCTTGCTAAGACGTGTCTGAAAAAGAAAGGGAAGAAAAGGCCAAGCATGAAAGAAATAACAGCAGAGCTAGATCGACTGATAAGAGTACAGGAACTGCCATCGTAGCAACATAATTTCAAGTATAAATATTCCTCAAACTAATATTGCAAAAGGATTTTTAGAAAAGTTAATTGATGTTCAAATTGTACAGTTATGAAATTAGCTTTCTATTTACCCTGAATAAGGTACTCGATGCAACAAAGATACAACATTGTTTAAGGACAAATCCTGTTAGAAATTAAACTTGATTTAAATGGAAGCTTCTAATACATTTTAGAAACTACTAGACATGGTGAAATTCAAAGTCATATATGTATGTGAGGATTCATGTATTTGGTCATTCATTTAGATCTCCAATAGTCATCTTGAAAATGTGAAGTCATTAAAAATAGGGACATCAACTTAGGTAGGTACATGATCCTTGTATCCTATAAATACCCCTGTACTTCTCTCCTTCATCACTTCCTCCATTGTGTGTCTAGATTTTTTTAACAAAGTGGTATTAGAGCTTGGTTTCGATATAACCTTGGGAGTCTATAAGTGATCAATATTGTTGGCAAACATGGCATCATGAATGAGTATTGGAAGTTCAAATACAAATTTTTCATTTTGATGGAGAAGATTATGAACATTGGAAGGTCAAAATGAGGACCCTCCTCAAAGCAGAAGGGTTATGAATTGTTGTTGATAAAGGATACATCGAGCTAGAAGATGAAAGCCAACTCCAACAGGAAGTACTAAAGAAACTTGAGACAAATCGAAGAAACGATGAAGTGAACTCAACGAAATTCAGTGTGCAGCTTCCAAAAGCAATTTTCTCAAGCATCATGGGTGTTGCAACATCCAATGAAGCATGGATATAATGTCAAAGTTCAATTCTTATGGATAAAGGAAAAAATAAAAAATGTCAAAGAATATTTTTCTTGATTTATTGAAGTTTTCAATCAAATGAGGACAATGGATGAAGATATTTCAGATCAGAAAGTAGTTGAAACATTCTGAGCAGTTTGCCTGAAAGGTATGAGTATATTATTACTGCCATTGAGGAGTGCAAAGATCTTAGTACAGTATCCATTCGAGAATTTATGGAATCACTGCAGTCCTATGAACAAAGAATAATGAAGCACTCTGAATAGTCGGCGGAAAGTGCATTACAGTCCAAGTTCAACTTGAAAATATTCTCAAAGGAGGGAAATTCAATCAATGAGAAGAAGCAAAGCACACTAAAGGATGAACGAGCATGACTCAAACAGAAAAGGAGAAAGATAAAAAAAGAGTAACTTGTTCCCACAACTCTAAATTCTCTTGCAAGATCTGTAAGAAAAGAAATCGTTGGTTTCGTGGAAAGGTTCAATGCTCTCACTGCAAGAAGTTTGGACACAAAGAGGAATATTATAAATTTAAGTAAAATGATCAGGAAAATTTTTCCAAGGAAAAATAAAACTTATTTTATGGATGTTAGTAAGCATCCCATGACAAGAAAAAATTTTGGTACCTCGACAGTTACAATAGCAATCACATGTAAGGGGATGGAAAAATATTCCTTGATGTTGATGCTATGGTTACATCTAAGGTATGCATGGGAAATGCAAAAAAAAAAATGCATGGGAAATGATGTTGTTGAAGCAAGATGAAAAAGGTACAAGTGTAGTTGAAACAAAGAATGGGCTGAGATATATCATAGATCATTAGTATCAAACAAGAAAATCAAAACAAATAAATAAAAATAATAAATAAAACAAAATAGCAACGAACTAAAACAATTTCATTTTTCACAACGTGAACACACATACTCAGCAACATTTGAAAATTCAATTGAACAATGCCATATAAAAAGGTTTATAATTAGTGGAGAAATCATTTTCTCGTTAAGAAAAGTATAAATGATATATGAATTCAGAAGTGTTATTTTAGTCAATTTCATTGAATATGTGAAAAGAAGTGAGGGTCGATGGACCTAATTAAATTACATGTTTTCTACCTACAACACCATATATGACAAAATAATGATTGGAAGAGTTAACTATTTAGTTTTTTTTTAAACCTCGACTATGCGAAGAAAAGGTTTATTCAAAATTTAAAAATTTGACAACCTAGTAATGGGGGGAATTTCGGCCTTACCCCATAATTTGACTACACTACCTTAAATTCAACAATATTTAAATTCAAAAGATGACTAATCTTTAGGGAAAAATTCCTTAGAAACAGCCTTGTTTCACCCTTTTTGTATTCCACATAGAAACAGACTAATTTTGGCATTCTTAACTTGCCCAAAAAAACCTATGAATTAAACTAGTGTCTTCAATTTAGAATAAAAAACAGAGAGATGGAGAAAGTGGTTACACAAATTTCATTGGCTTTGAGGTTTCAATTTACTTCTTATACAATTTCAGAATTTTTTAAGTTGAAAAAAAAAATAAAATTCAATGGCCACTCACTTGTTTGCTGAGTCAACTGATTGTTATATTCAGAATAATGAAATAGAAGATTTGATAAGAATGTTAATTTTGAATCAACACATAATTAATGAGTTTTGGTTGACTAATTCTTTACACGAATTTGAAAAAAGACATGACCTACTAACTCCAACAATAAATAGATTAAAGTATTGTTGAACACGAATAAACTGAAATTGACAAGATAAACACATTTAATATTTATTGCCCTGTCATTCTAGAAATAATTTTTTTTTAAAGGAAAAATCAAAAAAAATTATGGAATGAATCCAAGAGAATTACAAGAAGCAAATCAGGGCAAATCCCGATATAAATCACCATTTTAAGGCTTTAATCCTTCAAAACATATAAAAAAAACAAAACTCCTTCACCTCCGGGACACTGGGGCCCTCAGCAACTTCGACCCATTTCATCAAAGACCAAAATCCTCCTAGTTTGAAGAATTGAAAGCTTCCTCTGGTCTTGTAAGAGCCAGACATTCACATCTGTAGGCAGTTGCCTTGAGCCCGAAAAATCACAAGAAGCTCTCACCTTCACAACCCAGTTAGCCAAACCATCAGCCACACAATTGGTTTCCCTATACACATGTCGCACACGATACACCATTCGATGGAGAGAACTGGCAATCTAGGCAAGTAACTCTAAACAAGGCCAAACACACTTAATTTTTCCCAAAACAGAATTAATCAACACAAAGGAATCAGATTGAAGTTCAACAGTATAACCCATCAATGTTGAACAAAGTTTGGATAAAAAATTATCAACCCAATTTAAAATCAAACAATACTCAATTTATGTCTCTACTTTTTAGGATCCTATCCAATTGTGAAATCAAATTTACGCCCTAGTTGCGTAACTTGAGATTCAAACTTCAATTAAATTGAATTTCAACTTAAAATTCATGTTATCTACCTCATAAATCTAACCTCGATTGAAGTGATTTTGATTCAAATTTCACCACTACTTGCATATCATCCAATTTCAAAATTAACCATAACTGACCTTCAAAGTTTCGAATTAAGCTCAAGTTTTAAAAATTTTGATTTAACTTGAGTTGATTTCAACTTGCCTTACCACCACTATACTAGATAGGTTGTGGCATGAATATTGCTATTTAAATTAAATAAATTTGTGGTTTTACTATTTTTATGTATTAAGGATGTTTCAGAATTTTGTTAACAAACTTAATTTTTTATTTTTGCAGGTTAGGAGGTGATGTGTGAAATGACATATCGATATGGTATAATTTGAAATTTGTCAAACAATATAAAATAAGCCACTTGACAACATCAATGTAATGACATAAACTAAATTATTTTTAGTGACATAATTAATTTAGTTACTAAAAATATGAAAGTTTTAGTGACGACTTGACAATCATCACTAAAAGAATAAAAATTTTATAACATCACCAATGTTGTCACTAAATGTATGAAAATTTTAGTGATGACATCGAAGTTACCACTAAAGCCA